ATCTTGTCTTGTTTTAGCATGAATGAAGGAAAACACTTTGGAAAATACTTGAGTTTCCCAATGTTTCAAAATAGACCTAATAAGTCAGATTTTCAATTCCTATTAGATAACTTCAAGGCTAAACTTGCAGGCTGAAAGACAAATTTCCTATCACTAGCAGGTAGAATTACTTTCATTAAATCAACCCTTTCTACTTTAGAAAACCACGTAATGCAATACATTCAATTCCTAAAAATATTATCAACAAAATGGAGCAATATATACGTAATTTTCTATGGGGAACTACTTAGCAAAAAAAAATTCACTTAGTCAATTGGAAACGAGTTACCGCACCCAAAAATTTGGGAGGCCTATACAGAGGCTTGAACTAAAAAATAATGCATTACTGGCAGGATTAGTACGACGCCTATTTCATTCACCTAATCAACTATGGGCCAACACTTTTATACAAAAATATAAAAACAAACGTACAATAGGAACTTCCTCTAATACTTGGCACAATATACTGTTGGGTTGGGAAAAATGCCAACATGGTATTCAATGGAAAGTGGGTACCAATTCTAAAATCAACTTCTAGACGGATGCATGGATTGCTCCAAACACTACAATTAGATCCTTATTACATGGTCATATACCTTTAGAACACACTAAAAGAACTATAGATACCTACAGAGCTCAAAATGAATGGAAATGGGAAGAAATACCTTTTCACATTACAACCGTTTTCAAAAAACAATTCAATAGGATCAATGTACTTGTCTACACAAATAAATTGGACACTATCTACTTGGGATTATCCCAACATGGAAAATTTACTATCCAATCAATGTATTCACAATTACTAAATCGGGATTTACACATAACAGAACACACACTTCTCTACAATTGGATCTGGAAGATTCAAATACCACCCAAACTAAAAACATTCCTTTGGCTCATAATGCATAATAGGTTACCTATAAAACATTACCTACATCATATCGGAATCACATTAGACGACCACTGTCAAATATGTCGGAGACATCCGGAAACTATTAACCATATCCTTTTACACCATTTTAACATAAAACATATATGAAATGACTTATGTATAATAAACTTTATCACCCATATAACTACAGACTCTCGTCCATCGGATTGACTAATGAAACTCATTAATACAAAGCACAAGAACATGCCTTAACATATTAATAGCAAAAACTTTTATTTCATACACTTTATGGCACATTTGGAATAATCGTAACAATAACATCTTTAATAATACACAACAATGCCTATCAATTAAATTAATCACCAATCATGCACTGGAATTTACCTACTTAGCCACAAATATGACAACAACAAAAATTCCTATAATGCAACCTATCAAATGGATACCCCCTAAACCGCATTACTATAAATTTAATACTGATGGGGCTGCTTCATCGATCACTCACAAAGCAGATATAGGGGGCTCATACGCGACTCAAATGAAAATTGGATTATAGGTTTTGCAGGCAATTTGGATACTGCCATCACCATCCATGCAGAATTAAAGGCCTTATTTCATGGACTGGAATTGGTAAATATATACAAATTGGTTCCGCTGGAAATAAACATCGATGCATCAGAGGTACTTACCATGTTAAAAAATGACAACATAGTCTATACTAATATATTACCTGACTGTAGGTACCTCCTGGGCCAACTGCATAGTGCTACCATTGCACACACCTACAGAGAGGGGAATGAGGTGGTTGATGGTTTGGCTAAGGCGGGATACACCATGGAATCTGCTGAAAAACCAACAGTTTTTGGAGAGCCACCGAATTTTGTCAGTACCTTTTTGCAAATGGATCAGGCACGATTCGTTATAGGAAGACAACATGCACACCACAGGAACAAGATATGGACATGGAGCAAATCACTTTTTGGAACTACAATGCTACTCAGGAAACAACTGTCTCCAATGGAATCAATGAGGTGAATAACACAATTAGAATAGATAGTATTAATCCTTGTAATAGACAACTATCAAATAACTATATTGTCGATGCACAAGCATCACCCTCTCTATAGTAACTTTAATTATATTTATTGCAATATTATCTTTCTCACCAAAAAAAATCTCTACATACGTTGAAATTCATTCATATTAATAGGAGTATATCACAATTGTCTAAGCCCACTAGCTATTGATATTCATTTGGTATCACAGGTGTAATCAGTTCCTGTCTGTTGGGTGCTAGATTAAATAATGATGAACTTGAAAAGAGGTACGGATTGTTTTTTCCATAATATATCAAATATCAATAAAGAAGATCCTCTTTTTTTTCCCCTTTTACAGAACAAACAAAATATAATGTGTCCTCAACAGTTAACTTAAAATTTTACAAAATATTAGAAGTAATTTCAGCATATATTCGGCTTGCCCCTTTAATCTTTAGGAGAAAAATTACTCGTACTTGGTATATATAAATCATATTAGTTATTATTGTCAAGTGATTAATTAAGGTGAGAATATATATCAATTAATTATGATCAAGCTAAGTGAGAGATGTATATAAATAAAAATACATGTCATTCATTTACTAGTTTGATATAACTTATAAGTACTCACTGAGCTTAAGTGATTTTTAAGATTAAACAAATCAAAACTGCTTTTCTAACTACACATCCTCTTGCATGTAAGGTAGAGATTCTTATCCTATTTATTTTATATTTCTTTTATTTTTTGTAGTCACTCCAAAAAATTTAACTAATTTTGTTGCTAAAAAGATATTATGCGGTACCTTTTGTACCAACATATGAAACACTCGAAACTTAAGGGCGCATATAGAAAATACAGTATCGAAATGGAATATTTGGCCTTTGCTTTCATGCTCTCCACATAAGAAATGCAAATGTCCCAAACTTAATATAGTGGAAAAGGCTGACATCAAAACAACATGTTAATTTAATACTAGATCATTGGTGAAAATTCTAATCTACTGGACAAAGAATCGATTGATCGAACCAATTTTCTAAAGAATTAATTTCTTGAAATGTTAATTTTTAGTACATCGAATAACTGTGTTCTTATTTGACGTACACAATTGCTTGACTACGTTACAGAATGCCATCTCTTTCTGGGTTGCCACCTTTCTGGGGTTTGTTTTCTCGCATATGTTGCTCATGATGATCAGGGGCGGAGTCAGAATACGAGTTCAGCACAACTTAATGGCTTTGACTTAAATTTTGTGCTTGTCTTTAAGAATTCATTGAATTGTAAAAATGAATAACTTAGAGCCAAATAACTTATGAAAAGGAGTAAGCTTACAAATCTATAAGCTTCAAATCCTAGCCCCTCCTCTGATGATGACTACAATCTCTTCGTTGAGTTGATTATATGTACAAAACAGAGGCGGATCCGGGATTTAAGTTCTACAGATCCAAACCCATTATATTTTTTAAAGTAATTGTTCATATCTATTATTTCTTGCAAATAAATTTTTATACATAAACTTATACTTCGCGTTGAAAGTACTGATTAAGATAAATACGGTGCTTTCAAGCTGCATCCCCCGTCTCTGTGTACAAAATCTTCACTTGCAATATATAGTTGCGATTGGTGGCGGTGGTGGAGGAGGTGGTAGTCGTGGAAACATAAGTAGAGAAGAAGGTAAAATGAGTTGGGAGCATTGAGGTGACATACCACGTGGTGTAAACCTCACTAAAATACTAGTACGGCACCATGTAAGTTTGGGTGTTTACCTAGGCCAACTCTGACTGAAGAAGGGTAAATTTGAGCGTCTTAAGTAACATCGAGTGTGTTCTTTTTTTTTTTTTTTTTTTTTTTTTTTTTTTTTTTTTTTTTTTTTACAAACAATATAACAGATGTGAAATTAATCCTTTCCGCATAGCAGGGGCGGATGTCTAGCTTAATTCACGGGGCACGTGAACCCATGGTCTTTTCGCCAAAATAGGTATTTTATGTACATATTTTCTAAAATTGATTTAATATCATCTATTGGCACCCATGGTCCAAAGAGGCTAAATGATGCACTTGGTTGAATGTTAAGTTATTTACCTAAAGGGGTAGGTATCAATTTCCATTTAATACTTTCTTTTTTCTCATTTTTTTAATGGTGCACCCAAGTTATAAAAATGCTAGCTCCGCCGCTGCTGCATAGTAGAATAGCAAATTTATGCATTTTCCTTTGAAATATGGATAACAAGTCATAATTCAAACTGCAATGTTAATTCAATCATAATGTTTACTCGACCACTAATGAATAGGACATTCTTTACTTCACGTTAATTATGTGGAAAAAAACTACCTGAATATCCACTAAACCGAGAAATCTAATAAATTAACCTTAATTAAGTATACAAGTTACAACTGTTGCAACTCCAATGACCAATGTATTTGTATCATTACTATTTCGACGCATCACCGGTGACTGGATGCCGCATCTCGGAGTGACGATGGCTGATGGGTCCCACCTGTAAAGTATGGACCCCACCACAAACTAATTTGAGTGTGGCATCAGCGCACTAAACTCATCTTTAGTAGAATCACTTAGGTGCAGTAATACTAATTATAATGGCAATAATCACCTAATGGTGTGGTGGAACAATTTATATTCTTACACCTTTAACTAGACGGCTAGGTTTCAAACCTTGAGAGTGGATTATTTTTTTGGTAATCAATACTTTTATCCTTTTAATGAAAGCGCGAATCCGAATTAGTGAGATCATTATAATAATAACAATACTTATAATTTTTAAGTCGGACCTCATAGCTCCCTTATATTTAGAATTAAAAAAAAAAAAGCAAATGAGAATATTCAATTAGATGCAATGGAGATAGTACAAATTACACTCACTTGTGACTGTGGGATTCACACACGGTTGAAAGTTGAAACACTTGCTTTTAATTGATTGCAAAGTGTATTCCACTATCTGGATAAAAGAAGACGCATTACTTACATCTATGGCTTAATAATTTGCTTCTCTATAAATATGTTGCATGTCTCATTTCTTCTCCCTAGGAAAAACACATATACACTTGACTGTTTAATTTCCTCCCTTTTCATTTCATCAACTCCTCTGTATAATTAAGACTTCAAGATTTAACTGAAGAAAAATGGAGGGCGAATGTAGTTGCAGTTTTTACCAAAGGGCTAAGCCTTATATAGCCATGATTTCCTTGCAATTTGGGTATGCAGGAATGAATATTATTACCAAAGTTTCTCTTAATAGGGGAATGAGTCATTATGTTCTGGTTGTCTATAGGAATGCTTTTGCTACTGCAGTTATTGCTCCCTTTGCTCTTATTCTTGAAAGGTAAAATTACCCCACAAAATAAGAATTTTTGAAGTTTTAGTTACGATTCTTGAAAGAATAGAAAAAACTGACAAGTCTTTACATTTGTTGACAGAAAAATTAGGCCAAAGATGTCACTCATGATGTTCTTGCAAATATTTGTATTGGGTCTTTTGGGACCTGTGATTGATGAAAATTTTTACTATGCTGGACTCAAATATACATCCCCAACATTTTCTTGTGCTATGAGCAACATGCTTCCTGCTATGACATTTGTCATGGCATTTCTCTGCAGGTATGTATGTATATATAT